AATGATTTTACAATTGTATTGTTATATTTTGTAGTCAAAATGTACAGCTGTATTTAAAATAAACATGAATTTGATAAAAACCGATGTTTTACTTAACTGTACCCATTAATAATGCATGTAATATTCACATATTAGTATTGTATTATAAAATACAAACAGTGAATATGCATCTTTTCCATATTTGCATTTATAAGATGTTTAACTGTTTCTTGTTCAGTTCTTTATGGCTGTATACATTTATGCAACAAGTATAGCATTACTAATGGTACTTTTATCATTCTATTTTACTGTAAAGAGATAGAGGAAAAGAGGTTAGTCTGTTGTAATTTGGTCTCTCAAAAAAGGAACTCACACAATACACAAGATAAATTCATTTTTTACAAGTGAAAATTTAGGGGTCACACAATAAGTGAGGCTGTGTGTTACACAAAAATAAAAGGTGTCAGGAGAGCAAATACATACATTTTTCAACAGCATGGACAAATCATTTTCTCTACTCATAAAAATGTGTATGTTTCTAAAATTAAAAACTACCTTGTAAGTCAGGTCATTTCACACATACAAAATAAAGTTAGAAGTGTTCTTAAAATTTGGAAAATAAATTGTAATATGGCTGTACAACCAAGCAAGCAATTCCTTCAGGTCTTACAAAGGGTTTTGGGGAAAAACATCACTCAAACCTACAATTCAAATTTACCCCTCCACAACTATTGGCTTTTCTCAAATATAAAATTGCTGTCAAAAAACCATGAATGAGATTAAAGAGAATGCAATGAAGTAGTTGATGGCAATCCCGAAAAGGGATTTTGCGTATTGTTTTAAATAAAATGCAAGGGACATTGGGACAAGTATATGAAATTACAGAGTGAGTACTTTAAAAGGGACTAAAGTACATTGCTCTATACTATTCTTTCATTAATATTAGATGGTTGGATACTCATATAGAGCCTACTTAGCTACAGATATGAAAATGAATTCTGCATATCAACATTTGTCTTATTAGTGAAACAAGTATAATAGTTTTTTCTTTGGATTTTATCAGTAAACTCAAGTTTTTCTAGTTAATGCTATCAAAAGAACTCATTAGTAAATTTTTATACCAATTTAAGTATTAGTCATTCTATCACTTATACTATCACTTACCAACAACAAAACATCATCTACAAATGCCCTAATTTATAACATCTATGCAACTCTGGTTTTTATTTCTTTTTTTTTTTTTAGAAAATCTGTAATGATTGAAGTGCACCAAAATAGGCAAGCTGTCAAAGGAAAAGAAAAAAAAAACTAAGACAATTTAATATTATGTTTCCACAATAATCAACAATGTATTTTCATGCTGAATACTACCCCACAGACTAAGAGATTGTAAGCTTATAACAGCCCTCAAATGAGGCCTTAAAATACAACAGCAGCAGCAGTCACAAGACAATAAAATAGGAAACTAGTTTCACACTCAATACACCAAAGACAACAATACAAAGAAAAAGTAAAGAAACTGATTTCATAATACAAACTCTCCATTTATTTGGATAGTATGTAACATTAAGTATATTGTTTAACTTGCAAGATAGTTTAAAAAGTTGCTTGTATATAAACCTTTTCAATGTACCTGAATGTCAACAGAAGAGAGTGAAAACTCATTTCTGAAACCTCATCTCCCAATAAGATCATGTTCTCTCAATTCTCATGAAAGATTGAGTGAAAACTTAAATGGTAAAAAAACATTAATACCTATTTATCATGGTTTCTCTGTATAACCTTAGAATTTTTTTAACAATGGTTAGTTCATGCAAAGAAAAAATAGCTTTTCAATTATTTGTGTCATTAAATATGAACAAATATTACTTTAAGCATATTCCATATTAAATTACAATATTTACAAGTAAATTTAAATCAAATAATTTGATTTAATTTTAATCAATTCATGTAATATAGTTTTTTTGTTTTTTTTTAAGGAATCACATTTACTTCAAATTGATCTCTATAAAAAAAAAATAGAATGCAAATTTCCAGTTTTGTTATAATTCACAGTGAATCCTAAGTTTTCAATTGCAAAGTACCAAGACATTTTTCAAATTGTTGGTTGAAGTGCTCTATGAATGGTGGACACTTCTGTCTTGCTAAGCAAAAGTTGATTTTATCACTGGAGAATATGAAAGCAAAGAAAATCAGATAAACTGTTCTATAAAAAAAACTGCTATTTCACATACCTGTTATTTATGAAAAGATTTCCATATTAAACAATTTAAAAGAAAAATTGAAAGAAAAGAATTAATTCCTGCTAAGATTAAATTACCTTCACTAAATCAGTTGAGAGATGATGTTAAAATGTAAACAAATAATGTATTGTAGGATTTAGTATATTCCTTTCATTTATTAAATCTCAAATTAAATAAAAAATGTTCCATGAAAATTTTTCTCACCATTTTTAAAGTCATTTAGTGATTAAGAACCTCACTTCATACAGCTTCCTTTCAGAAAAACAATATCACTTCCATTTTGCAAGGTCTACCACCGACATGTTAACAGCCATCACTGAATTTGTCTCTCAAGCCTTAGATAGGACTGGTGAAGCTCAGACTGTGGCTCCAGTTATCTCAAAGGTGTTTGATAGGGTTTGGCATGCTGGCCTTCTCCACAGGCTCAAGGGCTATCGTGTTAAGGGACGAATATTTGGCTTAATGCAATTATTTCATAACAAATCGTGTAGTGAAGATTGTGTTGGATATGCATGCTTCTAGATCATTTCATACTAACACAGGGACCTCCCACCCAGGGTTCTACTCCTGGACTTACACCATTTCTGATCTTCATCAATAACCTCCCCAACTAGGTATTTATGAAGATGACATAACCATTTATTCCTGTCTTAGTAAGTCTAACAGACTCCAAAAAGTAAAACTGACAACTGCTCTCAAAAAGGATCTCCAATCAGTGGTTAGCTGGGGCAAAAATGGCTTGTAAATTTTAATGCCTCCAAAACAAAACTGCTTTTATTTAATTACTGCAGAGAACCTTTTCTACCTGTCATCAGAATGACTGATGTTAGACTCCAGGAGAGCAACACTACGCCTTCTTGGGCTCATGTTTTCCATTGACAAAGTGAAGCAACTATATCAAATCAATTGCTAGATCTACATACCAGATAAAGGGAATTGGAATTCTGTAATATTCCATCCAAAGAAGACTAAAACAATGTATTACAGTGACAAACACACAATAATAAAATAAACAAACATGTTGATGCAATTTTAAGCCAACTTCAAGAAAATATTTGATCAAGCTGAGATCCTAAAGCTTATGCAATATTCTTGCCAACTATCTGTAAGATAACTATAAATGTGAGGCTCAAATTCTGAACTAAAGTTGCAATATCTCAAAAACAAATGCAAGCAAATTCACTAAGATAAAAAAAAAAAAATTGATTACATCTCTGCTTGCAGCTTTTAAAACAATTCAAATAGTAAAATGAGAGCCATAAAATTTGATATTTTTAAAACCTCGTGTGTGACCCTTTAAAAAATTTGGTAAAGAGCTATGAATTATTTTTGAGAAAGGCTAGAGCCAATGCTTTGATTAATGATGCCATAAATTTGAATTATGATCACATGATTTGACATATTGTCATAGTTAGAATGCATTTTCAGATAATGTCACATGGCTGAAAAGTTTGGTCTAATTTCCTAAATATCACTGTGATAGGTTTTGTATTCTATTTCTCAAAAATTGATCAAATTTTAGAAAAATCAAATTTATGTAAAAAGAAACCTGGAAAGAGGCACCAAAGATTCTCAGTAATTTGTAATAAATTTTATTTTTGATTATCTCAATTTCTTTTGTTCTCATAAACCAAGAACAGTGTCTACAGAAAAACCTGGATTATTACCACTGTCTTTAAACTAAAAGTATTTAGTTTGTAATGTATACTCAACACATCCTTGCAATTTAGAATTGCAAAAAAAAAAAAATGTAAGTGCTGTTTTCCAATCTGAGCAAATTTAGACCTTTAGCTCTTTCTATATCCATCAAGGGTGCCTACCATAGAGCAATTAGTTAACAAGACTAACCATAACGCTCCAGTGTTGTGAATTTGATCCTGTACTTCTACTGTAAGCTTGTGCTAGGCAATGTTTTCCATGGAAAATAACCATTGGTCTACTGATACCTGGCAAAGGTAATTATAAATTATTGCCACAAGAATACTCTTGATACACTATCGACATTAAAATAATGAGGGGGGAGAGCATAGAAAGAACTGAATAAAATTATTCTACAAAATATATACACTTTTACTCTCAAAATCACAGAAAGTTAACAAAAAAAAAAAAAAAAAAAAAAAAAAATCTTTTTGCCAAACACTGGCTCAGAAAAATACAAGTCTTACTTTGGAAAATGTTTTGTCTTAATATTAGCTTTCAATTTTATAATATATATATATATATATATATATATATATATATATATATAATGTGTGTTATTGTGTGTAATATATATATATGAATGAGATATTTTTATAAAGCAGCTAAGTAATTATCATGAATACTGAAGAATAACAAATCTTTGTATGGCTATTCAAGAATGCAACAATATTTATAAATTAAGCTCAAGTGCATTTTATTGCCAATTCTTCCATCAGAAGAACAATGTTTTTTTTAATATCTATGAACAAATATTTTAAAGCAAACATTTGCACACATGAAGAGAAAATGTAAAAAAAAACATGAATTATGTCAACATTCCAATGCAACCAAAAACTAGAAATTATGTAATGCATTCAAAAATAGATTTCCATATAAGGAAATAGTTAGAATAAGTTTTCAAATTAAGAAAACAAGATTATAATTTTGTTTTCACCAGCATCAATTATTAACTTATTGGATAAGTTGAAAAGATAAAATCACAAAGTTAAGGGCAATAGTAAAAAGAAAGAGCATTAAGCAGATTCCACAAAAAACAAACAACCTCAACAGAAAGCAGTTGATTAAATGAAAGCTTACCATGTTTGCGTTTCCTTTGTGTAAGAGTTTTTTCTTTTGCTTTACGAGAAGAGGTTTGCCGTAAAGGTAGCCCAGGTGCAAGAGTCTTATCAACCTCATTTTCTGATGAGACCTTATCGAAGAAGCCTAGGTCTTCTCTTTCACCAGGAAATATCCTGTACCTGCCCCGACCACGTTTAGCTCGGGGTGCCCGGCCTCCACGACTGCCTCGTCCCCGTCGAGGGCTTCTGCCTGCTTCGGGGACCAATTGTTTATGCACCTGATTGTCGGGTTCAAAGTTATCACAAAGATTTTGAAACAAATCTTCAACCACATTAATACTGTTTTCCTCATCAGAAAATGCTGTTGAAGATTGGTTCATGTTCACTGGATCCATTTTCGAACTTTCCAGCTCAGTTAAATTGGGAGTCTTCCTGAACCCACTTCCAGATGTGTCAGCTCGTGCCATATTGTTCTGACTAGGAGTGAACAGTCTTGGGTCATACTTTGTAAGAGGAGTGCGTCTAGTGATATTAGAATAACTCAAACTAGACAGGGTCTCCGTTTTTTTACCATGTAAGAAATTTATATAGCTTTCTTGGAAAGCATCAACTGTTTTTGAAGATTTAGTCTCTGGTTTCTTCAGCAGCTCACCATCAAGCATTGCCTTATTCTGCAAGTGCTGAAACTCCTCATCATATTCAGCTTGGAGAGTAATGGCTGTTACAGTTAGCGGCATCTGTTTCTGTTCTGCTTTGGTACGACTTCTTTTTAGCTTCTTGTCAGCCATAGAGAAATCAGCATGGATTGTGGCAACAGCTACTCCAAGTGTTTCATCATCATTGGAGAGCATCTGTGGCTTTGTATCAGCAGTATTAACATTGACTAAATCATCAAATTCCGATCCATCTTCTTTGCTCATTGCCAAATCCTCAAAGCTGTTGGAACCATGCACCAAATCTTTGGATGCTGACACCTGAGAGAAATTTATGAATGAGGAAGGATGCATTTGCAGAGAAGGCTCTTGCTTCATGTGCATTGTTTCTGGACATAACTGTTCTGGATGTTGCAGGTTCATCTGATTATGAACCATTGTATTATGAGCCATTGTATTTGCATAAGCAGAGTCAGCTAGCCGTCTCATTCCATAATTCTGAATGTCTGACAACTCTGGTGTCGGAGTTGGTGGGGTCAGGCTATCGGAAAATTGGTCTGGAATAGGAGCTGGTCGCTCAATTGGGTCGGACATAGGTGTTGCTGTATTGGGCATATCCTCAGACAGAACGCCTTGGGGGCTCCCAATGCTACCGGCAACTGAAGTGGCATGCATGTTTGCCACCGGGTCGGAACTTGGTTGGGAACTTTCAACGCTTCCTGGTACCGAGAATTGCTGCATACTGGTAGGAGATGATTCCTGATGGCGGTCGTTCAAACGGCCAACAGATGAAGGGTCCATTGCTGGACTGACATTTTGAACCTTCAGCTGTCGGTCATCTACATGGTCTTGGTACGTAGGGCTCAATGTGTCTTCTGTCAGTGGTTGGGGAGGAAGAGTGTCATGGCACTGCTGTGACATTACTTGTGCCATGTTAGGAAATACATTTGCAGTATTTTGAGTCATGTTTATTGGTTCATCATTGAATAAATGTTCTTGTCCAAGCTCAAGAGCTTTGTCATAGAGAATGTCTTTTTTCTTACGTCCACGTCCACCCCGTTTGGGTTTGGTGGTTGAATCTGCCACAGCTTGGACTGGAGGAGGTGCTTGCACAACAGTGGAGCTGGGAAGAGGAGTCTGCGGACTGCCAAGAGATATTGGAGCCTGCGGACTCCCCACGCTAATTGGGGACTGTTGCATGGGACTTTGAACGCTCTGTGAGAGCTGACCGTTGTGCATATTGTGAGCAGACTGGATGGCCTGAGGTCGAGAGGTTATGCCCTGAATATTCTGGACAGTCTGCTGAAGATCATTCAAAGACTGTGACACTCCCTTGTTGGTAGTACTGTGCAGCATGATATGCGAAGTCTCTTGCAACAGCACACTATCTCGGTTCTTTATATTCTGCATTCGGTCCTGACTAGATCCAATAGAAGCCAAGTCTTGCAAAGAGACTGTACAAAATGACTCACCCTGCTGTTGATGCTGGCTTTGTGGAGGTGCTTCAGAGAGGGGCTGAGTCGGACTCACAGGATCATAGCCCATGTCTGATGTCATATGAGACACAGAACTATAAGTAGGTGCAGTAGAAGTGACAGAGTAATTTTTGGTGCTAATACAGCTGTAAGGATCATATAGTGGAGACTGGGAGCCAGAAATGCTCTCCAGATCTTGCGGGGAGGAGTAGTTTGATGGTCGAGGTGTTGGTGGTTGAGAAAGAGGTGTAGTAGGTTGTTGTTGTTGTTGCGGTTGTTGTTGTTGTGGTTGTTGTTGTTGTTGCTCATGGTTGATGTTGGACATATTGTATGGTGAAGGCAACTGTGGCGAATGGGCCGGCTTCGCTGATTGTGACGTGCGGCTGTAGACAGGTGGCAGCTGTGGTGATGGCACCGACTTGCTGCTTGACAGCGAGGTTGAACAGTAGATGGGATCAGGCTGGTAAGGACTTCTCTGGGAGAGACTGCTGATGGCTCGGTTAGTGCTGTGAGCCGGGGGAGGAATGTGTTGCTGGGGGCTAGGCGAGGCAGGTGCATAATTACCAGGCCCAGACAGCTCATTGGTTAAATTTGCAAAGGGGTTCGATGAAGTTGGAACAAAATTGGACAAGCTCCAGCCCTTATTGCTTGTTTCGGAAACATGAGGATTTGGGGACATAGGTGATGGGGTAAGACTGCTGGCAAGATCCTTGCTAGAATGGAAATCCTGACTAAAAATGGATTTACTGTGTGCAGGAACTCCACTGTGTGATGAAGTGGCATATCGACCTGAACTATAGCATGTTGGTTGTTCTGCTGATGATCGTGGTGCAGAGTCAAATGGGAATGAGCTGGGAACTGTTTTATAATGGGACTGGCTGGGGAATGATGACTGTAGATTCATAGTGTCTAAAAATTGAGAAACAGAGCTGTGCAATGGATGGCCATAATTCACTTGAGGAATTCCTCCCAGTCCACGAGCAGGTGGCAGGCTTGTATGGGGAGAAAGGGAAGGAGAAAGTGCCCCAAGACCTAAAAAAGAAACCAAAAACAGAGTTGCATTTTGGAAAATTCACATTTGAAAGAGAAAATACAGTATATATTTCATACATATATTTTACATACTGAAAAACTGTTCAATTTGAATGTTTTAAAGAGTTTTTGTCAAATTGGTTTTAATTGTTTAGAGTCCAACACCTATATTTAGCCAGACATTTCATGAAATATATAAAAAAAATCTATAAGCAAGAAAATCAGAATTACACATCATAAAAAGAAGCAAGTGATACAAGTAACAAATCTTACTTGAGAGAGTACTAAGGTAGGGTAAGAGAGAGAGTGTGGGGGGAAAAAGTGTGTGCGTGTGTGTGTGTACTGCTCTTTATGCAAACATTTAAGTAGCAGACTGATGTTGGCCATGTTGAAAGTTACGGATATATAAACAATGTTGTCTTAAAAAAAAAAAAAGAAAAAAGATTTATGTAAAATTGTTTAGTATGTACTATTAGATTTTTCATTCCTGTTCAAAGTCATTAATATCAATATTACTGAGATAAACAAATATTGTGAATAAACCTTTCAAATGTAGAATTGAAACATTCGTATTTATCAGTATTCCATACCCTGATAATTAGGACAGTATCAAGACCAAAAGAAACAAATAAGTTTTTCTAATTGATAAGAGATGAAGTTAATGCTTTGACTTTGTTAGCATCCATGAAGAACTTCACAAACATTGATGGGTCTCATCATCTTTGTTTCTAAATTATATTCAAGTAATAAAACTCAAAACCTAATTTTTAGAATATATCCAAATGTTTTTCCATCAGTTTTTATTGCTACTATAAACGTTTGCCAAATTATATTTATCAGAAATAAAAGTAATTTCATTGTATGTTGATAAAATCTGCAGACAAAAGACACGTGAACCAAAACACGGGTTCAATTTGTGAAAATGACAAATAGTCAAGTGGTATTACTCCATTTTAAAAGTTGCTTTTTACATAATTTCAGATAGATAAATTTGCTATTTTCAAAGACTTGACTTACAATAGGATTTTTTTTTATGGTAATTGATTTTAAATAAATTTCTCCTTGCACATGCAAGTGTCAAGTCTATTACAACACAGAAAAACCTAAAGCTTTAACATTGTGGATCTTGTTAGCAGAAACTATTTTTAAGCATCTTATTTCTTTTCCTGTTTTGAGACAAATTCCCAAGTAAATTTCAAATGAGTTAAATACAGAACAGTTGTTTTGAACTATTTATCATGACTTGATCAACTGATGATACAAAGCAATAAAAGAATGCTTATTTGGCAACACTTCTTTCAATGACTTTTGCATTGAGACACAGCATGTAAAATAGATAACATTGAAAGTTCAATCCCAACTGGTCATGACCACTGACTGAAGTTTAATAGCTTCTAACCCAACAAAAATGCAGAGGAATGGTTTTAATTGCAATTTATCAAGAGTTTGATAAAATAAATAAATAAATAAAAATTCAGTCAGTTGTGACAGATTATTCAAATAATTGACTTGGCTTATGAATGCAAATTAGAAAAGATAGTGCAATTAAAAAAAAATGTATAAACCAATATTTAATACTAAGTAGCTGTTCAATCAATTTTATTTTAATTGTTTAAAACATTCGTATAACAGAAAATAAGATTTATTTTATTAAAGCTGATATTTTTCATTATTTAACTTATTTTGGGTACCTATTTTGCTTTTGTGGTTTAAAGAGTAACAGATTGTGAAAACACTTCCAAGAAAGGGCCACTTACTTTCAACTGAGTGAAAAAATACATGATCAAATCACTGAAGATCGTCTATAGACAAAGTTTAAAAATAAAAATCAAATAAATAATTTTTAAGTTGAATAACCATATTTTTAGATCATTCAGAATCTTCAAATATTTTCCCTAGCAAACCAGAGAGAAAGAATAAAGGATTAAGAAATATATTTTCTTTGAAAAAGCAAAGTTGAAAACACAATTGATATTTACTAAAAATATGAAACTTCTTAGTAGAAAGCAAACTTATTGACAAGTCTGCAAGGACATCATTTCACCTGGTAATAGTTCTAAATGTGTTTCTGATATGCAGCCATATGTTATATAATAATCAACTCTCGAAATAGTGAAATGTTTATATGTGACAGTAGCTTTCAGCCATAACAGACAGCCTAAAAACTTTGTCTCATCTTGTTTGTCTTTCTTTCTTGAACTTTCATTAGTGACCTGTTATACTTACCAAATATTCATTCTTTAAAATATTTAGACTAACATCTTTATATTTTTGTTATTCCCAAATTATATATCTTTATTGCCATATCTCTTCAGAAGGCAGACTATCATAACTCTCCACAGATTCCATTATCTTTGAATTGGGTTGATTTTTTAACTGTTGATTTCTTTCTTTTTTTTTAATATTTAATGACACTTGAACACCAGGGGATTATATTGCATTGTGGAAGTATACAATATTTTTGAAAACTGATTTTATATACACATACATATTATGTACAAATACATAAGTATGTGGAGTTATATTTGTTATATAGTTTTAACATTTTGCAACAATGTGAATATTACATCTGTGAATTACAATGATTTAGGAAAATTGTAGTGTGATTTCCTATTGTCCACTTCAATCTGGAATCCAAATTAGTTTTTCTCTAAGAGTGGCTGCCACTCAAAATTGTAAAGCCCAGTTTTCCCTGCTATTTAAATCATAGCTAGTGAGAAAAAAGGCAGATTCATAACTTTTTCCCCAAGGGCATTTGTGCAAAAGTGAATGCAACAGAGTAGGCAAAAATTTGAATCCAGTTCATGAATAACCATTAAGCTAATTGCACGTCAATATTATGTGATGTCACTTAACTATACAAATTACATCACAATGTAAATATTTACATTGAGTACAGAAATTTAAAAAAAAAATAAATAAATAAATAAATACCCAAAAAATAAAACTTCTAAATTAAAACTAGATGTCTTCTGAAGCCGTGAACATGGGCGCAGACTTGAGGTCGAGTTTCCAATCGTTACATTTGTGAAGTCAAAACCCCAGAGGGGCATACTCTTTGGGCCACTGACGACATATGCAAGGCATTTCGGTGGCATTTCGAGAGCTGCTTTACCAGGGAGCTTGGTCTTCGTGAGGGCAAGTTTTGCAGCTATTTGGCTGACTTTCCTTGGTTTTCGCTGACTGAAGTAGCTAGCTGCAAGGGAGAGATCATGGACGGCGAGGTCTACGCAGTATTGAAGAAGGTCAGCAGAGGCAACTCGCCCGGTCTGGATGGTTTGCCCTATGAATTGTACTTGAGGCTTTCGCCCATCTTTGTCCTGATTTTGACTGTCGTGTTCAACAACTGATTCTAGCAGGGGTCCCTCCCTGGCTGGTTCTCCAGGGGTGTAATCACACTGTTGAAAAAGGGCAAGGGTGTTGGAGGGAAACTAGATGACTACAGGCCTATAACTCTGCTAAACACAGAGTTAAAGATTTTGGCCAAGATCCTGCAGGAGTGTTTGCAGTCAGTTGCCGAGTCTCTGTTGGGTCCAGAGCAAACTTGTTCTGTGAGGGGCCAAACAATTCAGAGCAACCTGCATCTGATCCTCACGCTCATAGAGGGTATAAAAGACGACGATGGATCAGTCCAAGGTATTTGATAGGGTTGACCATTGCTACCTTGCCATTGTCCTGCAGGCCACCGGATTCGCACACAACTTCTGCCGCTGGATTAGCGTCCTGTATTGCTCCCCCAGTGCTGTGGTACAGGTGAACGGGAAGCTGTTGGGAACCTTTGCGCTGTCTAGGTCAGTTTGTCAGGGTTGCCCACTGTTGCCCCTACTTTATGCTTTGGCGTTGGAGCCTATCCTTCACCGACTGAGGGACAGGGCGCACACTCTGGACCTACGCAGAATCACCATTCCTGGAGGGGCTCGAGCCAAGCTTTCTGCGTATGCTGATGACACATCTGCTTTCATGTCATCCCGCAGCGACATTAGGGCGGTACTGAAGGTGCTTGATCGGTGCAGATTAACAGCGAGAAGTCGTCCAGCTTGCAGTTAGGTGCTTGGAAGGGGGTCGATCTTCCGAGGCCCTTTGGTTGGACAGATGGTCCTGTCCACATTCTTGGAGTGTGGTTAGGACCAGACCTCCAGCTGGAGAAAAATTGGTCTGAAGTATGAGCAAAGGTGAACGCGGCCAGTCAGATTTGGCGTTGACGGAGGTTGTCCGTGAAGGGCAGGGCAGAGGCATGTACCACTTACGTTTTCCCTCTTGTCCCTTATCAATTGTCCGTACTTCCTCTCTGTGACGACCATAGGAAGCTGCTTGAGCGCTTGCTAATGTCCATTTCATGGATGGGACGCGGGAAACGGTTGGACAGTCTGTGCACAACATCCATGTCATGGGAGGCTGGGAATGCCACACTTGGCAAGCCACAAACTCGCCTCGAGGTTAGCTTTCCTACGCTGCGTGTTGATAGGAGGAGATTCGATTATGGTGGGGATTGTTAGAGATGCGTTCCCTTCAGTCCCCCCATCCTGCGGGTTGAGCGCCATTGTAAACCCCGGAATCAATCAGATTTTCTTCACGAGTGTTGATCAGCCTTGTTGGCCATTCCTCGGTCCAGTAAACTTTCACTGCCTAGGAAGGTCTTCTATCATCTTCTAGTGGAGGGGGTCGCGAAGGATTCCTTACGTGAGCAGCTCGGCTTGTCTGAAGAGTTTCATTCTTTCTGGTTTTGGGCACCAGCAGCGGACTATCTCAGTAACCCCGAATTTTCACTTACCTGGCAATTAGTTCAGAATCGGCTACCTCTCAATGACAAGGTCTTCATATAGAGCATGGCGGATTTCCCAGACTGAACGGTATGGCTTTGGTCTGGAAGAAACGGCTTTGCACACCTTCTACTATTGTCCCCATGTCCACCCCTAATGGGACCATGTCGGCGAGGTGACTGCTCGTCTTGCTCCCAAAAAGCTTGTCCTCATTGATCACACATACACATGTGACAATGT